TTTAATTTAAATTTTAAAAGATAAAAATGAGTAAATTTATTTTAGGAGGCAATGTTTGAAGCATGGAGTTGCCTCCCTGGCCCACCTGTACCCCCCTCCTCCCACCACCACCCTTCCTCCCCCCTCATTCCCACCCTCCTACTCCTTTCTCCCTCTCCCTACCTACCCCTTCCCCATCCCCTCCCCTAGTCACCATCCCCCCAGCCTGGGCCGGCCCTGCATGACCCTGAACTCCAGGACACCGTGCTGGGGCTTGGGCTCCAGAACCTCGCAGCCAGCAGGGGGAAGCCAGCTTGACTCACGGTCAGAGGGCTCTGAGTCAGGACAGGACATCCGGGCCAGGGTGATGGCCACCCTGCCCACCCCCAACTCACTGCCGCCTGAGGAAATATGGGCAGGTCGGGGGGCGATGGATGCTGGGCAAAACGTGGCTTTCTTGACCCCCGCTTCCTGTCTTTACACTAAAACGCAAAATTAGCTCTCAATTTTGCAAAACTCCCAACTATGCGACCTAAAGGCACAGGTCCAGGGATTGGGGTCACCACCATAGCGCCCCCCCCAGTTGGCCCCCACAGGGGTTGCTTTTGTTTCAGTACTGAGGATTGAGTCCAGGGCTTTCGGCTCAGCCGCATCCCGACTTCTGCCTCCTTTCCCCTTTCTTTTTCTTCTCTTTCCTGGGGTAGCTCTTGCTGACTCTGAAGTTATCAGTGCTGAGCTCAAACTTGGGATCCTCCTGTTTCAGCCTTCCAGAGTGCTGGGATTACAGGTGTGAGCCACCACAGTGGTTTACCTGACCAGAAAAGTAATCCAAAATGTGGAATCTGTGGCTAGGGGGCCCTGGGTGCGAACCCCAGAACAGAAGAAAAAAAAAAAAAAAAAGCAGAGGTCACTGAGCAAGGACCCGGTCCAGGTACACAGGGCTCATTCAGGTTGGGTCTCAGAGAGGAGGGGAGCAGGCAGCCTGTTCAGTCTCCTTTTATTTTGAGAAAAATGCTTAGACCCGGCTGGCCATCCTGCCTGCTCTGGTTACCCCTGGAGACCTGCATGGGCACAGCGTGGAGGCTACCAAGGTGGGCCCTGCTGCCACCACCTGGCCACCTGCTGGTCTGCACGCGGTACCA